GGACTCTTTGGATCGGCGGGTCGTCCTGCTGCCTGGCGTTGACGGAAGGCGCACTCAGGAACATGTCGACCAGCATCTGCAGCACGGTCGACATGTAGCTGGACTGCACTGAGAGCAGCCTGCGCAGGAACATTCGGTAGGAGCGCAGGAAATCTTCATTACGCGCTATCCAACTGCAATCGATGACGGCATGCACGAGGCCCTTGCAGTTGCCGTCGAGCTTCGGCGTATGTTCGGTGAGTGCGATGAGATATTTTTGCAAAAGCCGCGATAGCGGTGCACCTGTGGACGTTGGTGCTTCCTTGAAGAGGGCTTTGAGCCCATCGTAGGCCGCCTTGTCGCCTGTCGCATGCCTTTCGATGGCGCGCCGCACCTCCTCCCCCACCAGCTCCAGACTCTTCTCGTGGTGCTCGCTCAGTATCCGCACGTTGACTTCAGGGTGGAAAGTGACTCGGCGGCGTTTGAGCGTGTCTGGGGTCGCGTTCTCGGCGTCGGACGAGTTGTCGATTTGCTTGCGTTTGAGGCTGCCACCCGCGCTCGGGGCGGCGGTGCCGAGAGTCCTGTTCATTGTGGCAAGAGCGACCATGTTGTGGGCAATGTGGTTGGCGAAGGGTTTACATCTGAGCAGGAGCGCGAGGTGTGGGAGATTGTCGTCCGTCGGTGGGCTGGTGAAATTGGCAGCGAGGACAGCGGGGGTGAACGCACGCGACTGTGCTGCGAAGTATTGAGCCCGAGAGAATTTCAGCGGGTCACTTAGGTAAGCCAGTAGTTCACCATGGTTCGCCGATCCAACACCCAATCACTGCAACAACGCATGATGCGATTCATTTGAAATCGTAGAAATGTATTTAGTTTCCTATCTATCGTTTGCCTGTATCAGGATTGGATAACCACAGCTTCGCGAAGTCGATACAGACTGGTTGCTCGCGCTGATCCCACCACGCACTGTTCTTCTTCGCGCTTCGTTTGATCAAACAATGCGTTTCAGGCTTATAATAGATTCTCTAGATCCTACCTGAGATCTTACCTCGAGGATTGGCGTCTTTTTGTTGTATGATCTACGAGCTCACATCTCACCGCATTGTGAGATGGCAATGTCTTGCACTGGCTTCCCTTCCGGGTTGGCTACTGTTCGCGTATTCTCGATCTTGGTGACAACGTCCATGCCTTCGATGACATTGCCAAAGACAACGTGCTTGCCGTTCAGATGAGGGGTGCCATTCTTCGCAGTGATGATGAAGAACTGGGAACCATTGGTGTTGGGACCTGAGTTCTGCAATAGTCAGTATGAGGATTTCATACAAGCTGTGAAAACCTACAGCCATGGATAGAAGACCGGGCTTGTCGTGTTTCAGGGTGAAGTTTTCATCGGCGAACTTCTCAGTCCCCCAGATAGTTCTTGAGCCAGTTCCGTTGCCATTTACAAAATCGCCGCCTTGGATCATGAACCCTTTGATCTATGTTCACTTAGCATGTGAAAGACAGTGCACTGTGATGCTACTTACGACGCGATGGAACTTGCAGCCTTTGTAGCCCTGCGGCTGTCCCCGGCTGTTCTTGGTCTCGCCCGTGCAGAACTGGCGGAAGTTTTCAGCAGTCTTTGGGACTACATCTCTGAACAGTTCCATCTTGATCCTCCCCAGCTTCTCCCCTGTTCGCTTATGTCAGTCACCATGGTCGGGTCGCGGGCGTTTGCCCAACTGTGGGCTAGGCCAAGAAAGACGCGTAGCAGATGGCGCGGGGTGAGGGGTAGCCACTACTGGGTCACATGGGTGGATGCATACCTCCTAGGGTGATGTCGAAGAAGACGATTGGGTTGGGCTCGGCAGTCTCCGCCATGGTTGCGGCAGTGCAGTGCTCGAAGAGCGGACTAGTGACGTTGGACGGGCTTTGGCAGTGATGATCGAGGGAGTCGCACGGTAAGTGAAAAAGGCGTTCCGTCCAGATGGTTCCAAGATATGCCGAGCAGAGACAATGGTGCAGAAGCAGGGGAGTCGGGCTGCTGCCAGTGGTGGACAATGTTCATGTGGATACGCGCAGTTTGTTAGCGGGGAAGACTCCACCGGAAGGGCAGGGATCCGACATGTCTACGCAATCGTGAGCAGACGGCCTGCCTCGCGACACTGAACTCTGGTCCTGCGATGTGAGACTGAGACTGTGTTGCAGTTGTAGTAGTGAGTGAATGCAGTCGTGTTGATTATGCATCACCGCATCAGGCTGTCAGCAACTTTACAGTGTGATAGCACCTGCATGCGACGGCATCCATGCGGCCCAAAGCAGAAACCCTGCTTCGGGGTGCATTGCGCGGACAGCGCCTGTGACATGTGCATGGTGGAATCGCAAGCAACACCCAGCGCATTCACGACGCTCCCCCTCACTATACAAACAACCTCATACTTACCACTCGCCACTGCCCCAAACGCCACACCGGCGTACCATTAACCTTCTACTGTCATCATTGATGGGCCTGGTTGCCGGTCATCCTTGGCACCTGCCGGCGACGTTAGCGACGCCTCTGCGGCCTTTATCCGCCTGAAGACCGGCACCTCCCCCGTTCAGCCCTCGGCCACGCACTCGCATTCACTGCCCTTCCCTGACCATCCCGCCGAGTCTGTTGCTTGACCACCAGCCTCTTCGCATCGCATGGCCGATAACGATCCGTTCCCAATTCACCGCTAGCGATTGTGGCACGGGCAGTCACTGCGAACGACTACAGCCTCTAGGGAGCCGACTCTCCATCGCCACGCCCGCAGTCGTTGCCGTCACCATCACCGATTCATCACCTTCTCCGGCCCTTGCCTTAGCCCTCCCGCCGCCACCTCCAACTTATCGCAACCACTCCACGCGCGATAGATACTCTGTCGCCGTCGTGTCCAGTCGCCTCCTGATCCGTTTCACCTCCAGCAAGGCTCGCCGCATCCGGCCTCACTCGCGCATCGCTGACTCGGTGTCCTCCACGACTGCGCGATAGTATACCGACGTATGGAATAGCAGACTCGTCGCAGCCCACCATGTCCAACGTTGTGCTCTTCCCGCGGCAGCAGGCCACCCCAACAGACGGCGCCAACAACAGCGGCAGCAACAACAACAGCAACGGGCCCACCAGTTCGCCGCTGCTTTTTTTCGTTGCCCTGGGTTTCGGTGTCGTCTTCACAAACTTATGGTAGGCAATGGCAGTTGGCTCGGCTGCTGCTCCTCGTACTGACTGCGCTCAGGATTATCGTTGGTGTTAAGTACTGCTTCCGATACAACCGCCGTCGCGCGGCCCAGGCTGCTGCAGATGGCGAGCCAATCGACATGACCAACATGCCTCGCCCGCACCGGAGGAGGAGGGAGAAGAAGCTGATGACCATGGACGAGGTCAACGAGCGGTTCCCACTGACCAAGTATAAGCAATGGAAGTCAAGTCGTGAGACCGAGGGCTTGCCAGCTAACGGCGGCATTGCGACGGCACCCCAGAGCAGAGCAGCCAGCTTGAAAGATGTCGAAGGTGTCATCAGTGCCCAGGACGAAGGTCCAGGACCGCGAACCGATACTGCCCTCTCCATGGCCCGCAACGACCTCAACGCCCCAGCCTCCTCCGCCGACCCGGTCGCTCCCCCGAGAACAAGTGTCGAAAGCAGGAAGAGTCAGCACGTGCAAGACCTTGAGAAGCAGGTTGACGACAAGTTGAACTCGGAGAAGACGGACAACGTTCAAGGGCAAAGTGGCACACCCCAGGCCAACGTGCGCGAGCGCGAGGACGACTCAGACGACGAAGAGGATCCCATCAGCACTGCCGCTGCACCAGAGATGTTGGCGGAGCCGGGAGACACGTGCGCCATCTGTCTGGATACCCTGGAAGATGACGACGATGTACGTGGACTGTCTTGTGGCCACGCCTTCCACGCCAGCTGTGTCGACCCATGGCTTACGAGTCGCCGCGCCTGCTGCCCTCTCTGCAAAGCCGACTACTACGTCCCGAAGCCCCGTCCTGAAGGAGAAGTTGACCCTCTTACTGGTCGCCGCTCAGTCGCTGGTCTTAGGTCACCACCGCAGGCGGTCTGGACTTCCACCAACCCATTCTCTCGGTCTCGCGTCATGGTTATCAACTCAGACTTCCAGCAGCGACAAGGTGGTGATCGGTTCGGGCGACTGAATCGGCCTACTCGCCGCGAGCGCGTGGCTGGGAACGCGTCCCAAGCGACAGGGCAGACTGGCGAGAACCAAGGATGGCGATCGAGGCTGGCGCTCAACCGAACTCAAGGCCCTGGCTTCTCAAGCTGGTTCGGCCGCAACCGTGGCGCCGGTGCCACTGGAGAAACCCCTGTCTCGCAGCAGCCAACTCCAGGACAACTCGAAGCAGGTGGCCGATAGACGCGGGCCTGTTGTCACCCAGATTTCTCGATCCTTCTCACGCCCAATTACGACTACCATACCCTCCGGTTTTGTACCCGATCCCTACGGCACTTTTCTCTTTTTTCACATTTCGGCGTTTCCTCATCCATACTCTGAGCAACTTTTCGTCTTGGTGTAATCTCGCTCGTATAGTACCTATCAGAGCATAGCGGGGTCTCTCAACACAGCATTTCGCGGGCGGGAGAATGGGCTATACATGGATAGTTGCTAGTAGCGACAAGGCTATAGGTCTGGACTGAACTGCTAACATTGTAGATAGTATAATCTACAGCCTTGCAGGCGCGATTGTCCCAATCATGGAGGCTTTTTGGCAAATTATGTAGCATATACTAGGCGATTTCGATAGCGAGCGAATAGATACATGGAACACAAAATGCTTCAAGCAAGTGAGACCTCGCTTCTCGAACCAAAACAGTGATGCTAATTACACTACGTGCTCACAAGCCAGCGCTAGGATCAGCGCGGTGAACAAAAGAGGTAACCGCGGCCCATGACGCTAGTCAGCAGCGCATCTCGCCTTACGTCAACCTCCATGTGCATGAAGTACTTAGGCACCTACATTGACGGATTCTCTTGGAAACATCCGATAGTCACGGCATAATATGCTGCAGGACACCCTCAGATTTCTTTCGCGCAACTTGTTGAAATCCGACGTCTTCTCTAGGCAGCCACCCTCACAGACGAACAACATGGCGACCCCCAAAATCACCACAATACCCACCGAAATCCTCACGACCATATTCGAGTACTTTGTAGACGACCACGAAACGCTCAAAAATGTCAGCAAGGCCTATCCAGAGCTCGCTCCAGCGGCAAACACAGTACGCAACTCCGTTCGAAGAATCCTTGTCCGCGGAAATGGTGCACACGAAGCGTGCACAGAGTTTCTCCAAGAGCTTTGTCTGGCCCATACACCGTCTGGTAAACCCATTGGACCCATACGCTATCTTGAGCTCGTCTTCGACAGCCGGGCACAATTCCGACTAGAAAACACATTGCAGGACATCCTGGATTTCCTTCCAGCGGTCCAACACGTCACGCTCAAAATCAACGCTCGGCCCTTCCCCGAAAGTCCTAAGCAGGAGCTTATCGAAAATTTCAAAGAGAAAACGCGCGGAGCCGTGGAAGACTATACGAAACTCATGGACATGCTCAACTCACTGAGGCCGGCAAGAAAAATCGGTCTTAGCCTCATCATCAACGATTGCATACTCCGTACCTCACCTATCATCGCACAACAATACCCAAACATCACGCTCCGAGAATTCGACGTCAAGATATACTTGTGTCAACGCAATACCCTCGCCGCCTTGGCCCATCGTCTGCTCTACGCAACGAAAACCCTGACCGACTTCACGATACTAGAGGACCAAAAGAGTCCATGGGAATGCGACTGGATCCCTCTTCTCATGCCGTTTTCCGGTCTCACTTCCCTCAAAAAACTACACATATCGTCTGGCTGCTGGTTCTCAAACTCGGCATATAACGCCATGCAGGGTCGCCAGGGCTTTCTATGGAAAGGCGAAATAGTACGCCCATCCATCGTCCATTTACTGCCCCCATCGCTTTCCTCGCTCCGAGTAGACTTTAGTGGTAGCGCGGCCATTTTCGCCGTGGGTGATGGATACCGTGCCGCCTTCTTCCGCATGACGTCCGACGAGATCAAAATGAAAATGAGACCGTGTTGGAACTGGATATACGAGATTGCCGCTGCTGATCCTTCGCGATCTCCTCGATTGGAGAAGGTGGAGGTGCTGGAGCTGAAATATGTGGTCAGTGATAGGGGTAGGGTCGTCAGGTGTGCGGAGCCGATGGATTGGGACCCGCCTGATGAATTGAAGAAGGCGTTTGCGGATAGGGGGATCGAATTGACGATTCAGATCAGGGGTAAGACGGAATTTAAGTCGGCGCCGCCGGGGCCTGGTGTGCAGGCAACGTGATAGTCGACGAATGCGACATTTAGCATCTCTCAATGCATCAACCTCACACATTACACAATGAGTATTCACATTGCTGGCCTACAGATACTGAACTCACAGCCACAACAAGAGGGTTGATTTTAACGATGACTCGTTACATCGCTTCACACGAAATGTTCAACTTTCACCGCGTTTCCAATGAGGGCCGTACGACGAGTAATTACCAAGGTCCGTGTGAATGACAGGCCATCCCTCACTCGAGTAGCTACATAAGTCCCCTTTCCCCTCCATGGGAGAATCAATATCAGCTCAACCGCAATCCATCCACTCTACCCGATACCCAATCTTACCCTTCAGAAACCGACGTTTCAGTCTCCAGAAACATGTCCAAACCCATAATCACCACGCTTTCAAACGACGTCTTGGATCAAATCTTCGAGGATGTGGATCGAAAGGATCTGCTGAGTCTGATCAAGACGCACCGAGTCTTTCACAAATCCGCCCAACGCCTCTTATTCCAGTCGATTGACCTCCCTGTACAATCGACCCTGGCCCCTCCATTCGTTCAAGGCGGGCATGCTGCGGAAGTCAGCCATCTACCGACACCCCAGGATCGGCAGGATCCGGATGAAGAGCCGCTGCGGTATCGACGGGAACCCCTTCCATTACTACCTCCGGTCTTCCTGCCACTAGAAGACTATCAGATCCCAAAAGAGTACAGGGAGCACGAGGCTTTTGGCAATGTCGCGGCTCGGCAGCAAAGGATTGCCTTGTTCCTCCAGGCTATCGAGAAGGCGCCGCAGCTTGCAGAACATGTACGCCACGTCCGGCTAGACTGCGAGTGGGGCCTACCGCTTTTCGTCCACGAGCAAGCCATCACCATATTCGATAAACTGCCGAACGTGCGAAGCATCGAGGTCACAGTCAAAGACCGGCTGAAGGGTTCGAGATGGGATGCTTACCAGAACATCTGCATGAAGCAACTCTGGGCGGTACTCGAAGATGAACCCATCGAGACCGTCACTTTGAAGACACCGACGTTAAGGATCCTCCGTGAACTCATCCAGATCCCTACTTTGAAGACATTCTTGATTGAAACCCCGGCGCCCTGGCATGAAAGCCCTGAGTCCGATATCAAGAAATTTCGCATCATTCACAATTGGTTCGAGCCCGAACCCGACTCCCTCCCCAACCTCACACACTTCAACTCGGGAACCTTTCAAATCAGCCCTCTCGCTCTGGGGAAACTGCTACGCCTATCTGAGAAGACCGAGTCACTGCACCTAACCCTCAACTGCCTGTACGCCTGGCAAAGGGACATTATACCACCATGGTTTCGTCCCACACCCCCTACCCCTCAAACCGTCATCGACGTCCTGCAAGCATACCCAGACCTCCCTTCCAGCTTAAAACAACTCTCCCTCCTCGAACCCCCTTCCGCCAACTTCAGAGAACACCCCTACCCGCCCTTCACCCCCTCCTTCACCTTCCTCAAAAACCTGCGCGTCCTCCGCGTAACCTCATCCCTCTTCTACACCAATGCCCACGACCTCCCCAACTCCGCCAAGAAAACATGGATCTGGCAGAAGCAGGACCGTTGCGCCGCAGCCGCATACACCCTCGTTCCCCCCTCGGTTCGCGAACTAGAAATCCAATTCCCGATGCCCGCAGAGGCTATCTTCGCCACGGGCGAAGGCCGCGCGCAGTTTAGGCGTTTGCCGCAGGCGCTGCCGCCCAAGGGGTTGAACTGGATAACGCAGTTTGCGGAGATGAAGTTGAGTGGGCGAGGGTTTTTGACTGAGCTCACGTGTTTGAGGCTAACGGAAGTGGCGGGTGTTGCGAGCAAAGGGCAGGCTTCTGGGGCGTTTGAGGCGTATAAGCCACCGAGGGTTGTTAGTGAGACTTTTGCTGAGGCGGGGATTGAGCTTGTTATTCGGCTTGCGAAAGCATAGGGGAGGTCTGGAAGGTAGTAACTTGGATGTCCATAGCATGCGTGATGGGATGGAAGTTAGGGAACCTGTTTTGAGATTTCCGCATTGCATTGACTCCGGTCAAAAGTAGATACCCTTACCCGGGGGTGTTGGAAACATTTGCGTTGGATATACTTCTCTTCTGCGCCATGGCCAGTCCGTTAGCCCTGCCTTTTTCGACGTCTACAAACCAGAAAAAAGGCGCAGGAGATATCATAAGAAATGCAAGAAACCAAAAACCCATTCTAATAGAGCCCGTGATGTCGATGATACGGCCTACGACGGCTGGGCCAATAACAGAACTGCCTTTGTCTGTAACGGCATAAAGAGAGTAGAATGCTGCTTCCATTCCAGGCGGAATCAAAGTACCGAATATCGAGCGAGCATACGACGAGATGCCTCCCATGATGAATCCAAGAAGAGCGCCAAGAGGGTAGATTTCCCACCATTTCTGTAAACCGAAAAAGCCTAGCGACTTGACGAACGGGACGAATCCAAGCAATCCATAAAGAGGAATAAGCTCGAAAAGGCAAATACAGCTCAAGAGAATGGATATCGGCTTAAGCTTCCAGTGGCGGGCTATGATGGGCCAACACATGGCACCGATGATGCCTGATGCAGTAGCTGTTATAGATAGAAGTGCTATAGCCGCGGCCCCCAGTTGTAACTCAACTTTGGCAAACAGGATCGCAGTCCCGGTAATTGTCGCGATACCGTCGGATAGGAGAAACCATCCTAGGAGGAATATAAGGACTTCGCGTAGTTGCACAGCGACCAGTATGGTTCGCCATAGAGAGACCCATGCAAAGAGCAAGTAACGAAAGCCTGGAACAATTCCTCCTTGTTTCTTCTTGTTGCCGACGTTCCAGGGTAATGGTGGTCCCGGGCGACGACGAAGCCAACATGCCGTAGGTACTGTGAATGCAGCCCACCAAAAGCCCACTAGAAACAAGACAGTGCGCAGGGGCATGGTTGTTGAGATCTCTGAACCAGAAGCTTTGGCCTTACGGTAGAGAATTATGATGGTTATGCTGACAACCTGAACAAGAACCGACGCCGCATATCCAATGCCAATGCCTTTCGCCGATATCGTGTTGGAAAGTTTTAACGAAGGCGACACGTCTCCTAGTGTAGTCATTGTCGGTAGCCGACTGAGAAGGGCATCGACGGAGAGTCTGTCTGGAACTAGACGTTCGTTGTCAGAAGCGTCGGCGTCGTCATCGTCATCGTGGCCGTTATCGCTGTCCTCGGAGCCTGAGAGTACATCGTCAAGTGGTACAGAGTGGAACTCTTGCTGTTGGCGTATAGATGAATGATTCGCTACGAGAAGCGGAAGAAATGAGTTTAGCAAGACAAATGAGGAGCCAAGGCTAGCAACGCTCACGATCGTCAGAAAAAGTCCAACTAGAAAGATGCTGGGGTACACAAAGATAAACAGCATGCAAGATGTAGAGCCAGTGAAGCTCAGAATGAGCAAGAGCCTTTTCCGGTTACTGCCTGCTAAGGTGATTAGCTCACGTCCACAACATTGTACAGTGAGGTCGGGAATACCATAGTCTGCTATAGCACCTATCGATATCAGGACAAGCGTCTGTACTATGATCGCCAGCGAGAAGGAGTACAGTGTGAAGCTAGAGGTGTTGAGTTCGTGGCCAAATAGCTGGACGATACAGTGGTTTTCGTCCCTTGTATGAAGCGTCGGCGAGGTTGAAGGGGGCTCATGCTGAACGCAAGGCGTTGATCTGTCGGATTGAAGCACTCCAACTTCGCGTGCCAGAGATTCGAGCGTCATAGGCAAGAACGAGCCTGTAGCACAAACTCATCAGATGTAGCTCAGACGGAGAGGGTTTCGACAGCGTACCAACTCCGCATACAGTGAAGACTTCGGCAGCGAGGCCGTACGAATACCATCCGTATAGCTCGCGACGACTTGTGGTTCGAGTGTCCTGACCTTCGTAGCGAGTGGTCGCATCTTCCATAACGAAGTCGACAGTATTGGTCGACTTGGAATCGTGGATACGCGGTGCGGCGCAGGTCAAGAGAGCCTGGTCATATAGTAGTTAGCAGTCGAACAGCGCATGAAATCCTCCCATTGCGGGGGAGTAATACCTGCTCAAGTAGGTGTGCTCACGGAATTAACAGCCTACAAAGCTCTCTGCTGTGGTACCGTGTCTATCTGATACGATACCTACAAATCTTGTCGACAGTTCAAAGAAGCCACCATAATGCGAATGGATTAGCAATTTTGGATGAGAGAGCTTGTATCGATCGTTGTGGTAAGCACGGCCAAATAGGGCGCAGCCTTGACGGGGAAGCGTGAGTGAAGGTCAGGCGGCAATCTGGGCTGAAGGCGCTTACCTGCTGTCCCCGTCAGAGCAGGGCGAAAACTGTCTAGAGCTCCTAAATTACATACACATGCGAAGGCAGTCGGCGTTACGCGCTTCTCCATCTGATAGAATGTTGTTCTGCAGATCTAAATCCGGATTTAGTCCACGGGTGAATCGATAGCGCTAAGATTGCTGGAACGCCCCTGCCGGTCATCAATAGCAGTGTTTCAATCGAAGCATCGAAGTACCTACATAGCTTGTTGCGCAAAACGCGTGCTTGCCTATCACGTTGAATACTAATGAATTGTGGCCTGCTAGTATGAGCACGTCTTGACTACAGGTCTATACAAAACTTTGTTCTCGACAATACCTAGGTATAGTCGGCTCGAGTATGTGCTCTCTAGAACCTTGGAGACGTATTTCCTACGAGCGATGTAGGTGCGGGAAATCCCATAGTGGGGGGCCCCAGTAACACATCCCATTGGCTACCAGCTGCAAAGCCAATCACGACCGGTGCGCTTTACCCGGCCCGTATCACATCAATTAGCGCCGGTCATACCTATGTACGCATGTATGCATCGGGCGGGGACAAGCGAAACTCTAGACATCTCCCACGCGCCTCTTACTTAGGTACACCGGAAATGGAAAATGGCAGCATGCACGAGCCCGTTTGATCAGCTGTTCATGCAGTCGATCATCGTATCGACTGCATTGATTGGTATCTACGGCTCGTCTCGACACAATCGCCATTGTTCAGCTGATGAGCTGTCCTAACATTCCCGCGACGTTGGACTATGGCTATAGTCAAATCCGCGGAGGAGTCCCTTGTAATGTAGTACAGCTCCAAGAACAGCAGCGACATGGAAAATCTGATGTGACGCGCCCCAAATATCGAACCTTCCAGGCCTCCATCGTTCAGGGATGCGAAACTTTTGAAGTCAACTAAAAGTTTCGAGCCATTTCGAGGATTGTCACTTACTGCGTATATCGCTGCACCAACGCCGTAACTAAGACCTTCAACAAACATCATATTCCACCCGATTATTTCGTTGGCCTTGGGTCTACCCCACTTCTCCGCCAAATGCGTCATCGGAAGGACACCGTAGAAGCCGATGGAGATGAACAGATACGCGCGCACATTCCGCCATCTTGGGTGTCTGAACTGAGGTTTCGTGCAGAAGACAGCGCATGCGAAAGTTATGGAGAGAATCTGCCATTGCTTCGTTAATTCCGTGCAACACTTGTAGGGCGGGTAACAACGAACCCCTCCTGAGTAGACTTTCCACCAGAGGCGTTCGCAGTAGAAAGCATAGTAGGTACCAGAGAAGATCGTCGCGACAATCAAGGCGAATACACCATAGAGATCGAAAAGCAGCCAGGTCTGGTTGACTTCTGCAGAGTGATGCATGAACAAGTGGAAGCAAGCACTAAATCCGAAGCAACTCAATGCGCAAATGAAGAAGACCCCAAAAACGAGGAAGTCGTTAAAGTCCGATGTTGGATATCTCTTGAGAACGTCGTAATATGTCTGCACAGCCCAAGCTAGGAACACAAGTGTTCCAAGCAAGTGCGTGTAAATGTTGCTTGTTTGGTTGTGTAGATATCCAAGACTAGTGAAGCAGTCGCGGTATGAGTGGGACGCCCTCCGATAATGGCCGATGAGATACTTGTTTTCAAGCTGCCAGCTTTCAATCTCGTGGATAGTGCAAAGTAATGCGTTTCTCGTTGGTTTGTGGGCCGACATAGTTGCTAGGGCTGAGATATTGAACGTAGTTTGTATACATAAGAGGAGTCGGGGAGTGGGGATTTAACGCCAGTGATGCTTGATGTTACCGCGACAAAGTATGTATCCCATCAGTACTTAGGTAAAACGCGCATACTGAAGACCGTCTTGGCCAGTACATGTTACTGGCTGAATTGACCGGTGAAGGGCAGGGTATAATGCATGCTTTCTACGCATTATCCCACCATCTTAGTAACAGCCTTGCTTCTCCTAATCACTGTTCGCCGCTATTGGAAAGTGAGTGCCGATCTGACTTTATCGTTCGACTTGCGTGTAGCTAAAGTTAGAAGTGGCGCACGCTCTGTGTTATCTAGAGCACACGAGCAATATATGCATGCGTGGTACCGGATAACGAGTGGAGTGGTTTGTGTACACGAAATGTCAGCAGCCACAGCATCTTCGGTCCGGGATTGATGAGATTGGCTCGAACGTTTCACTAGAGGGTGTCATCGACACTGGAAAGCTGGGGGCTGCAGTGCCAGCTTCCTGAGGTCAGGCTGATGTGTCGGGTACGTACAGATCGCATCTTGTCGTCTGCTCCTGTCGCGAACGCAGAATCCTTCATATCCCAAGCACGCCAAATATACTTGGACACGAAAAGAACTTTCGCAGAGATCTTGAGACAGGAGGATTGACTATCCACCTTTGAAGATGTCGACTCAATCATCCAACACATCTACGTATCCCTCATTCATGTACCACCTCGCTCATACCGCCTCGCCACCCTTACGCCGTACCATACACTACATTCGGCTGTTTTTGAAATGGCACGTTCCAATCCTATTGGTACTATGGCTATTATGTCCTGTGATAGCACAAGAGATTCCATCTGAGTGGCTCAACGAAACAATCCTCAACTGCAGTACGATCACGGATAATTACGTTGGCAACGCACAATTGAGATTTCAATTCAAAGACTGGGTTAACCGTGGAAGGTGCATCCGCTCAGGAACCGATGGTGGCGGTCCGTACAAGACCTACGTATGCTATTCCCGCCTACAAAGCGCTATCGCAAACAACCTCAACGAAATCCGAAAGGCGGAGTACAATGGTGCGGCCGGCGTTCTCGCACTTCTACCCACAATTGGAGCTTTACTTGGAACCCCTACGAACGAGATCTGGCGTCTGCTCACGATGATTCCTTTCGGAGGCTTCCTAGCAATGGCATGTTCCTTTGGAGGGGCAATTCTTCCCGTAAAGATCAAAGACTACGAAAGTGCCTTCATGAAGAAGAACATAAAGGGAGACTTGCGCGCGTGGAAGAGTAGTCTCGAAGTGCCAAAGACGATTGAGGATGGCGAAAAAGAGAGAATAAAGCAACGAGCAGATATCTTGTTAAGAAGAGTCCAGCGGAAATTGCAGAGCGAGACACAAAGAAAGGTCCCAAAGATGTACATCCTGGTTGGAATCACGGGAATGTCGATCCTCCTACTCTCTGCTCAGGTCGCAATGATTGTCGTGGAGTTAGGAGCTGTTCTTCCGTGGTGGTGCATATCGAAATGGTGGGTGCACTTGTGGTACATGATGGGTAAGTCACGCTACAGAACTTGGTTGGCAAGTTTTACTGACAAAGTCTCAGTCATATTAAGCGCCGCTATCGACAACTACGTGCAGCTACCTTTCGAGAAACAATGGAGGCTATGTCTCTCAGACGTCCCCTACGACCTCACTGTTATAGGTGGAGATGATATCACCAACCATATCCCCGACCAGCAACACGAGACGGACAATGTCAAAACTGCCCTCAAGCAGCTGAAGTCACTCAAGACAGGGACTGTGAAGTTCACTGGTCGGCAACAGCGCCGCGCGGACGCTATCAACACACTGTTCGTCCAGGTCTCTGTCACAAGTCACTCACATAACTGGCGGAGAACATTCACTCGTTCGCTTAGCAAGATCTCTAGTATCGCCGTGTTCATTGTCGGTACTGCATGCTTTGCTTCAGCTCAATTACTTTCTATTGCGATAGCTACATTCATCTTGACATGCGTCCTTGGGGCAGGTGTTTTCAGTCGCGCGATTACATCTTGGATTGTTGCCGGCATTGAAACAGCGGACCCAATGTTGCATTTCGTAGCCGATACAGATCAAGAAGCTTACTATGTTTTGGCTAGACTCTTTATGATCAGCCTAGATAATGCAGCTAAGCCGACAAGGCGTAAGATCCAGGTGGAACTAGGCGGCAACGTATTTCTAGACCGGCGTCGCATCACTACTCGCTCACCATGGCCGGCGCGATTCCTCGGCGTTCTAACTTCCCCATACGACATTGCTCGAGCCGTTATCAAAACGAAAGGGGACGATGGCGTCTATGAATTCAATAATCTGGAATTAGGGTTGGAAAGCACCAACACCGTCGAACAGCCTTTACTAAGGCCGTCACTGACGACAAAGTCGACATTCGGAACGGAGATCAGTGAGACAGTGTCCTTGGACGACGATCAAGCACTTTCACGACGGCCGACTTTCCAGCGCATGGGTACTATCTCGAGCGACTAGTCCTCTAGTCGCATGACACCTGGAGTGTCGTCGCCGGAACATTGAAAAAGAGCGGAAACAAAGGATCTCATGCGGTTCAGCTCTTCTGCAGGCCGTAAATCATTGTATTGTAAGAGAGCAAGGCGTTAATACTGAACTCTTCGATGTTAGTTACGCAAAACGTACACAAGAATGAACGAACGTGCGCCACAGATTCCAGATTGACGTATCCGTACGCCTCCTTGTACATCTGCGTGATAGCGGTCTACGAACCTCAGATACATATGAGCGCTTGGTGATGAGGCTCCGCACCGCACATAGCAAGCTGCGGAAAGCGGGGCAAACATTACTAGGTAGAGAAGGGGTTCTGGACGCTAACGAAGCGCGGGGACTGGATTGTCCCTGAAATTGGCCAAGATTTTATCTCGCCCCCACGTCACGCTCGGCAAAGCGGCAGGGGCAAGTTACACAACAACAGTGAGCTGCGCTTTTCAGCCATCTGCAGCATCTTCCCTGTCATCAACATTGCGGGTTCTCGGACTCCTCGAAGGATACATGACGGTTGTTAAAACCATATAATTGAGGCGCCACAAAGCTGTCAGGGATCGGACTTGATACATGCCATTTAGCAGCTATGATTACAGCTTTCCTCCTCTCAGCCTTGGAGCTTTCGCGGCTCTCTGGCTGAAAAGTACCTACATTCGCCTTTTCTCTCCGACAAAGACAGATTTGTAACATCGTTTTCATTCGTGCTACACGCAAGTCCCAGCATCCGATCGCACCCTGGATAATGTCTCATGCGAGTGCACGATCAAGTGTTGCAGAAAGCAACGACGAGCAAGGCTCCAAAGTTAGTCATCTAGACTCATCATTACATGCGGATCCAAAGAAGAAGCTACTACTGTCAAAAGCCGAAACCGTACAAATAGCCCGGGCTATCGTGTTTGCTTTGTGCTTTTTCGCAAGTGCAGTCTGGTAAGATATGAACACATACGTTGAGTGCCTAGATTTACGGGCTTACCATATTGCTAGTCTACATGTTCAGCAATGGCTCGGTGTCCCTATGTATTGGCTCAATCGGAAGTGGTTCTATGCTTGGCAAGCAATAGTAAAGGAGTCTACTGCACTTCTTCTCCTCGGCCTCAACCAACGGATCGCTCCTTGCTCGGCGAAGATCTGTGGTGACTCAAGTGTTAGAGGCCAAATACGAAAGGCCTCTAGCGGTCAAGTTCAACTGGACTTTCCCAGTCGTCTCGTTTTAGTCGCCAATCATCAAGTACGCTAAACCTCCTCAAACATGGCATGAAATTTTGTAGCATAACTAACATCTCTAGATATATACGGACTGGCTCTTTCTTTGGTGGTCTGCGTATATCACTCGGCATCATGGCCATCTGTTTATAGTTCTCAAGGACTCGCTCCAGAGAATTCCAATCCTAGGTCCCGGGATGCAGTTCTTCTCATGGGTCTTCCTCTCTCGCCGTTGGGAAACGGACCGACCGCGGTTTCAACACCGCATGAGCCACCTCCAGGATGTCACGTTACAACAGGCAATGTGGTTGCTTATATTTCCCGAGGGGACGAATCTGTCAAGAAATACGCGGGAAATGAGCAGTGTTTGGGCGAAGAAGATGCGTATGCCTGACCTTCGGCACGTCTTGCTACCAAGGACTCGGGGCTTGCAGATCTGCTTGGAGGGGTTGAATCCTTCAGTGCAATGGATGTATGATTGCACTATCGCATATGAGGGTATCCCGTAAGTCGCTGTTCTACACTGAGTTTCTTCCATCTAACCAGGTTTAGTCCCGGTGAATTTGGACAAGATATTTACAGTCTCAAAAGTCTTTACATCGAAAATCAGAAAGCTCCGATAGCTCACATACACTGGCGTTGCTTTGATGTCAAGAGCATTCCTGTTGGTGATGATGGGGCCTTCGATCACTGGCTCTATGAGCGATGGGCTGAAAAGGACGAATTGCTAGAACACTTCCAGCAACACGGTTGTTTCCCTGCAGACGACGGCTATTTTGAGAGCGAGATCAGGATGAACAGCGTTTTAGAAGTTGCGCAGATCTTAGCTAGTGCACTCGCTGTGCTCGTGGTCTGGTGGGTCATGAGCACCATCATGTACGGCTTTAGAGCCCTTTTACTATCCAATACACAGTAAGTGCGGAGCTAGTGTTGTACAGTTAGGCGCGCCGATGGCAGATGTAGGATAAGGAAAGAGAAAGACACGTTATTGCGTTGTTTTGCCTCGTCGCTTAGCTCGTCCACGACTATCGCAAGGTAGAATCATCAACATAAGCCACACACTTGTTACGTAGCTACAATGCAGCGGGCTCAGTCTGACGAGCCCAAGGTAATCTCTCAAGAGCTCGAGAACTCTCAGCATCGCGCAACTCGTTCCTCACGCACATGCAAGGCGATATTGACACTCGTCCCATTCCAATCGCCAACTCTGAAAGCGCATTGTGAAAACCAGGCAAGCTCTCCCAGTAGATCGCTTGGGCCACGTGTGGCAGTGAAGATGAGGCTGATGACATCATGACACTCGCCAGTGTCCAATGCAGAGCTGATTCCAAGCCGAAGTCCTGCCGAAAATCGGCCAAGTGCCGGTGTGTACACAGCAAGGCGAGAACGACAGTCGCCGAAAGTCTGCCTCATTGTTCGTGGTGGTAGTGCGATCCGTTCATCCAGTGCGCATAAGGATGTTGCGTCGTAGGCCCTGTGGATTCGCCAAGGTTAGCACCCAGCAACGCGGGTATTAGTAGAAGTTTAGAGCGCTCGAAAGTCGTACATACATGTAAATCCGTAGCCACTCCCGAAAGCATAAGATGGGTCGTCTGGTACTCCAGAGCCTTGCGGCTCCGCCGATGCGCCTCCATTGCCAGGGTTGTTTGCGTGTCCTTGGTCCGCGTCGTCGAGGCCCAAATTAAGGGCAGCCCAGTCGATACTTTCCCAAGCGTTGAGATCGGGCTCGGCGACATGGTGCTGCAGCGGTCCAACAGGGCTGTTGGCGTCTTCAGCTTTCAAGGGCGCTTCGAAAAACGGCGCAAGCCTACGTACAAGACAAACTCAAGTATAAGCAAGCGAATGCATAGGCAAGAATGTACGGTCATCTAACCTGAGATTCACAACCCTGGCCCATAGCTGACACACAGCGTCGTTGAGCTTGTAGCTAACCCAGCCGCAGAGATGGAGTCGTTCGAGAAGCGCTTCCGCCGATGGGATGTCAAATTCTGCACAGGCAAGCGAGGTCTGATACACAAACCATGTGCTGTCTGGCGAGGGTTCCGCTGATATCGCACCGATGGAGAGTATCCAGAGTAGAAGGTCGGGACAATGCTGCCACTCGGTGCGAATAGTGCAGTTCAGGGCTTTCTCCAGTCGCTTGCTCGCTGCATAGTGGAGCAAATGGACGTGAGACTGTAGCTTAAACGCTTCGGTCGTCCGCACCGTAAAGATGAGTAGCGCAACGCATAGCGCGTCTTCGAGAGGAGTGACAAGATGTTCGTTCTTGCGCAGCCATGTTAGCAGAGAGCATTCCAAGACGCAGGCAAAGTTCTGAATATCGAGAGGGTCCAGAGGGCTCTCAGGATCACTGAACCAGACGTTCAGGTCGGCAATCAGGGAAAGTACCGATTCCACCAAGGCATTAAGTGGTTCTTTGATACCCGCATTCCGACAATAATCAGTCAGATGTTGAGAAATGCTCGATTCGTAGCCTGGTGGATGACGTGGAAAGCCTGCTGTGCTGATGAAATCCAATGTAGAGGGGCTTGGCGCTTGGAAATCGTTAATAGCGTGAGCGGTCGAATGCCTGATGCTCAGTAAGCACATGCCAAACCGGTTCTGGATAGAACGCGGAAGTAGAGGCTACACACCAAAGCATAAAGGCTTGAAGAATGCGATTCGTTTTGATTGCTCCTAGTCCACCACGCAGCTGCACCATTCTCTGCAGCCCCGTTCGATGGATCTCGAGTTGGACTGCGTGGTCTTCGTGTAAATCGAAAAATGGCATACGGAGACTCTCCTCTATGGTGAGTAAGTTGAACACTGCACCAATGTTTGCGTCCGATGTCCCATCCGGTGTCAGTATCGCTGCATTGACAGCAGCAATAGCCTGTGCTCGATGGTGCAAGATTGCATCGATGGTATCTTTTCCGAACACCCAAGCGTGCAGCGCGACCGTAGCAAGCAGACTGTGCATGAAGCCTGGATTACTTATCGCCGTGCCGAACCAGTCCGACTTCATCAGAGTAGAACGATGCCGGACGTCGACGGCAATGATACCAGGCGCCATCTCCGTGGAAACTACACGGTTCAAGTCAGCGTTTGAGTACCAACAATGCCGGGCATTGAGATGTTTGGCGCCATGCAATCGGATGCAATCTAGACTTCGCACTCTCAACGCCGTTGTACAGGGTTGTCGTGCCACGAACCCAGCGACCTGGAATGTCTTGATGGAAGGAGAGATGCAGGGACAGCCACTTACAATGCTTCAACAGTTCCGACACGCTGCGGGTTACTTCGACGGATGAAGTCCGAAAAGGATCGAAAAGCTGATTGTTTGGGTCTTCTGCAGGCGCCGCAGGCTTGACCAGCAAACATCTTTGGCAGAATCCCTCACCCGGGCGGCACAGGAAAATCTGACACTCTGGGCAAACGTCCCTCTTCGCTATCGCATAATCTTCAGACTCTGGGGAAGAAAAGTAATCAGACCTGTTCGCAACAATTGGAGGGCTTGGCGTCGCCTTGTTTGACGTGGACGCACATGTACTGTTAGGACTTGCGCTTTCTGAGCTTCCAGTTTTCCTTTGCTTCGCAGCATGTTTGCTTGTCGACCATGGGTTTTTCCTGCGGGCGTTCTGCATGACAAAAGAACGAGCATTGCGACGACCTTGGCGAGACGTCTTCGCTTGAGCTGCATCGACGAACAAAAAGTCTCGCTGATCAGACATTGTCGGTCAGAGCCACCCGGTCTCCCTTTGGTGGCTCCTTCAGGCCCTCCAGCGGTTCTTCCCGTTACAGAACTAGCAATATGCCGTATTGTCCTGTTCAGAGAGGATGTAGATGGTGGGGCTTAGCAGGGTGTAGCCGGAACGACGTTGCGCGTGGTGACTAGTCCAGACTTTCCCAGTCCATGCTCGCGGGTCAACATTTTGGTACCGACATGTGCCGTGACGACGTTGGGCTGCGGCGGTATCGTCCTTGGTGTTACTGGAAGCGATGGAGGGGCGCGAGACGTGAAACTATCAAGGACCCGATTCGTGTTAGGCTGCAGAAGCGAAGTCGGGTGTGACGGGGTGCCTGCGCCGATGCCAATCTCTCGAATGATGATGCAGCTGCGCCGTCCCAAACCCGTACGCCAGATAGTTCCACGACACGGTGAACAACGCAGGGTCTCTGTCTATATATGTAGACGATGGAGCTCGCGGGTCGCTGTTACCGAAGGATCAAAAATAGCACCGGCCACGGCCGGTGGCTAACGTTGCGTGATGTTTACAGGACCTGCTGTCCAGAAAACTGGAGATGGACATGAAAGACGCCACAACCGATGCTAACAGGAGCCGGGGCACGGTAGTCTCCTATGATACAAGGCAGACTCTCAAGCGTGGGCCCAGACCTTGTATGGATACTAGATCTGCGAATGTCGGTAGAATGACATCTGAGGTTCGCGATATACCAGGTATGACGCACCCCTGGCTTTCGGCGCGTTCGGAAATACTTTTTTGTCCAGAGTGCATGTTGGACCCCCGAACACACGTACAAATAGATTTGCAGTCCGAAAGGAAGTGAATCTGTCGGAATGCGGACCCGACGAGGACGTGAATAGGTGCAAAGCCGAGGAACAATAGAGGCTCCGGATCCCGGCACCTACTGGGCAAGCGCGACGGAACCGCGCGTACCTTGATGCTCGGAAGCTCTTTCAACAACCGCCATGCAGGCAGACGGCATTCTAGCAGGTAGGACATGGCTGCTTATTCTGCTGACTGTGGCGCTCGTATACTGACCACGTCATTGTAACATAGGCCTTTCGGAAATACCTGCGCATGTCCTCCACGCGGAATTACTCCGAAGACAGCAGGACAACGATGAGCGACCGGAATGCGGAAGCAAAGGGGCAAAGGGCTACTATAACACACCCATACATGTCTTCGCCTTGTTCTTAATACTCACACTTAGCACTGCGGGTTCGTACGTTTCTTCGCATACCTGCCAATGCACTGCTGACCGTCTCACAGCTTGCTCCTTCCCCGTGGTCGTCAAGCGCTTTCCTTCGATACCCGTTCCCCACCAGTTCCTCTTCATATCTAGACACTTCGGCACGGGTGTCCTGATTGCGACTGCCTTCGTCCATCTCCTGCCTACCGCCTTCGAATCCCTCACCGACCCATGTCTACCCCCGTTCTGGAACAAGGGCTACTCGGCCATGCCGGGCTTAATAGCCATGACATCAGTCTTTGTAGTAGTGGGCGTGGAGATGTTCTTCGCATCGAGGGGAGCAGGCCATTCGCATTCGACTGGCTACGAAAACTTAGGCCTTGACGATCACGCTGCGGCTGCGCGCCCGGGCCACAAGAGAAGCCATAGCTATGGGAGGTTCAGCAACGGCACACCAGGAGCGAATGGCCACATACCGGGCATCATGCTGCACGATGTGGAATCTTCGGCCAATCTCATGGCAGGCCGATCACCGTCCTTCTCTCTGGCATCGCCGATGACGCCTAATGATTCGATAAGCCGGAAGTCCATTGACGACGACAATGACTCAGATCTTGAGATAAGCAGGGAAGAGCTCGCCCGTCAAGATGAAGAGAACTCAGAAGACGAGTCTCGCCTGTTGCCCGGCCCTCATGCCCACAATCATGCTCACCAACCTGGCGGCGAATCCTCTGAAGATGTGGAGAAAACGGAAGCCCAGAACAAGAAACTGCTCTTGCAATGTCTACTGCTCGAAGCTGGAATCCTATTCCACTCCATCTTCATAGGTATGGCGCTCTCGGTCGCCACTGGCACCGCCTTCATCGTCTTCCTCATAGCCATTTCCTTCCACCAAACCTTCGAAGGCTTCGCACTCGGCTCCAGAATCAGCGCCATTCGCTTTCCAGCCGGATCGCCGAAACCGTGGCTAATGGCTCTAGCTTACGGGACTACCACACCCATTGGCCAGGCAATAGGTTTGGCTATACACACCCTGTACGACCCAGCAAGTGAAGCTGGCTTACTAACCGTGGGATTCATGAACGCCATATCCAGTGGCTTGTTGCTATTTGCTGGCTTAGTGGAGCTCCTTGCTGAAGATTTCTTGAGCGACGAAAGCTACGTGACGTTACAGGGGAAGCGGCGACTACAGGCCTGTGCCAGTGTCGTAGCAGGGGCGTTGCTAATGGCACTAGTCGGCGCATGGGCATAGTCTCCAACGTTCTCTTCTTGTATATTCTAAGCGCATCATGCATATATCTGGCGTTATGGCTGGTCACATGCAGGCTAGCCTGCTTCGTAATCATAATCACCAGCGACTTTCGCAGAAGCCTCGGTTGGCTTGATGTTGTTGTATAAGTGCGTATCGCCACATCTACGGATGCAATGTTACATTGCGGACTTGTCCGTTGCCTTCTGAGTTTACTTTTCGACCTCCTCTTGTTCTTCGGTGCTTCCTACTCTATACAACCCCTCGGCACCGCCGTCTCCGTGATCATTCCCGGTTCCAGCTTCTTTCTCCAGCGCTTTGCATCGCCTTACTAAGTCGCTCACATGAGCATCTCCGCTATTGTAGCTCAAACCAAGCAGTGCAGTCTCCAGGTTGTAGAGGTACTCTTTGTTCTCGCCACTCGGACCTTTGCCTGTGATAGAGTCAGTATAACAAACCATGGCATACGAGACACCTCAAGCAGACAAAGCAATGAGATAAAACATACTCCCCAAAATCTTCCTCGCCAACGCATCCGGATCCTGCGCACCCAAAAACTGCGGATTCTCCGGTAACCCAATATAAACCAAACACCTAACACTTCCCGCTTCCTCTCTCACGGCGATGGTATTAGTGGCCTTGATGCCAGCCCGCATGCCAGCTTCGGCTTCAGTTGGTTCGGAATCGTGCGGCGGAGACGTGACCTCTGAAGTGCTGATAGCAGGATGGAACGGTGTGAATTGAATCGAATACCCGTTTATCTCGCGGATATCGAGGTATTGGCGTACTTCTTGCACCTTGGAGGCTGGGATGTGGTATGCGGCGCCCCAAACGCGTTCGGTGGACTCATGCTGTTCCTCTTAGTACCAGGCCTTCTTGCATAGGCAGATCTGGTCATATAGCTGCAAGTCTCGCAGATCGAATGCTAACGAACGATAACTTACAGTATCCGTCAAAGTCTCCCAATGCGCCTTATCGATCAACGTAACAACGCGTCCCGGAGCTTCGGGCGTACCGCGGTGATCTTCACTGTAGCACCTCCGTATTAGCATTACTCCAACCCCGCTTCTCCACGATTCAGTTGGAGAGTCTCCATCCATACCTCGCCTACATACGATCGTCAGTCAAGAACCGTTTTTTATCGTACCATATCGTGCCATATCTGGCACCAGCCAAGGAAAAAACACATACCTGCCAAAATCTCCTCACGTATCCTTCAATGAAGCCGGGAATTCGTTGGTCTGTATTTCCACTGTCAGATCCAGGAATGCTCTCTTTGAGACAGAAGTCAAGATGGCATGTTTGCTTTTCGCCATGCCATGTTCGGGCCGTACCGTAGTGTGGCGGTGGTTTCCATATCAAGCTCCTACGACCGAGGCGTTAGCTTTTCGGCTAAACGTGTTCGAAACGCGTAGGCAGGTATACCCGTATCCAAAGATCCAGAAGTCGTCGTTGCTGCCGAACGTCTCAATTTCGTT